TTTGAAGAGCGTAATCGTACCGCCGCTAGAGTACGCCGGAGAGGTATGGGAATGTAATAAGAAGGCAGTGAAAGAACTATAGGCGGCGCAGATGAAAGCAGCGAAAACCATCCTAGGATGCTCCAAGCGCACAAGTAATGCAGCCGTGAGGGCAGAATTGGGGATCCAATCCCTACGGTCGGGAAGAGACGCGAGGAAGCTGACCTGGCAGTATCGCATGTGCGGGATGGGAGAGGAGAGGTTGCCGAGAATTGTATGGGAGGCGAAGTGGGCAAACAAAAAGAGGGGTAGACAACCCACGGAATGGGTCAAGGTTGTAGAGGACGTATGGAAGGGGCTCGACATCGACGAAGATGAAACGCTGGAAACGGAGGATCTACAGGGGTTCAAGGAGAAGATATCTGTTGCTGGTGCCGAGAGGGAAGAACTGAATCTAAGGAGAGAATCCAAGGACAAGGAGGGTCTAGAAGTGTACGGAGTGTTGAAGCAAGGAATAGGGTTCAAGGATTACCAACATGGACCNAGAACGTCGGCGAAGACACAGGACGGTAGACGACGAAGACGACGAATTCAAATGTGATTGCGGCCTCGAATGCGAAGACCGTGTTCATGTAGTCGCGGAATGTCCGTTGTACAAGGAGAGGGAAGTGTACGTGACTGAGCTGGGAAAAATGGATGGGACGTACAGGGAGATGTTTGAGGCATGGAATAAAGAGGAAAGGACGGTAGCTGTAGTGGGGCATAGGAGGTGGGTTGAGAAGGTGGGAAGGGATATCGTGAAGATAGACAGACTCGGGAAGACATTTTTGAGCCACCTTTGGCAAAGTAGAAAGGAACGATTGGCCATCGGTGATCGGTCCTGTGGGAACAATGCTCCGTCCTCTCGAGGACGCATGGTCAATGGTCTACCGTATATGACCCAAGATAACACACCCCCTCGACCAATTTTCAAAGCTCGATTACGCCACGACGAAGAGGATGCAGAAATGAAACAACACGTTTTCGGCGCTGTGGCTCTATCTGNCCCCCCCCCCCCCCCGACTATTTCTGAATAATTATAATACTTCCCACGAGAGAAAACAAAAAACTCACCGCCAGCTTGTTTTCCAGGACGGCGGCCCTTGCCCTGGCCTGGTCTAGCTCTCGCTCCGCCTTGCTCGCCCTTGCCACCGCCTCCTCTGCACCGGCGCGCTCCTTGGCTAGCTCGGAGTGCGCCACCTTTGAGCCCCACGCCCCGATGCGGGTTGCGGCCGTTTTGGGAACGTCACCGTAGCAGGGGTCAGCGATTCAGACGTACCTAGACTACACGGAACTGTAGGGCAACAGTAGTACATTTGTGCCAGACCACGTAACAAAAAGCCATACTACAGTACAACAAAAAAACGCTTGTCGCTCTCACCAACAACCAAAAAAGGGGTATGAAGCTAGGCCCCCCACCCCCCCCGTGACTCGCTTTCACCCTTCCGAACACACATGCACGCGAAACAAAACATTTAAATATTCAATGCTAACGTACCCTGGACTCTACTACCTGCGGCTAGAGATTAAATTCATTGTGTGCTTGTAAGAAAAAAAAAACATTCACACTCATACACAAAACACATACGTGTTCGCGCTTTTATCCCGCTACAATACTGACGTTTTCTTTTCATTGGACAGCCGGTGACGTAGCGCGGCCGATGCTAACTCAGAAAAAAACATACACACACACAACCGCACTGAGACCGACGTCTGTTAGCCGGGTTAGCGCGCTCCATGCTAACAATGAACACACACACACACACACACACATGCTGCCCCCTCACGGCGTCCATGGCAGATAGAAGTGTTTTGTGTTTTCATCCGCACTGAGACTGACGTCTTTTCATTGGCCAGCTGGCTAGCGCGGTCGATGCGAATAATAAAAACACACACACGAGACACACACCTCGGCCTCCCCGCCAAGCCTGCGGACCACCTTCTCCAGGCCGCTGAGCTTGCTGGCGCTCGCCCCGGCCTCGTCCTCCGCCGTCCCGGCCCTTGACCCCAGCCTCTCGGCCGACTCCACCGCCGCGGCGAGCTGCTCCCTAAGGGTCTCCACCTCGCTGGCGAGGTTACCGGCGGCCTCCTCGGCGGCCTCCTTGCCCTCGGCGCGTGCGGCTAGGGACTTGGAGAAGGGCCGCAGGAGGTCCAGCTCGGAGGACACCAGGCTCAGCTTGGAGAGGGGGGGGGGGNGGGGGGGGGGGGGGGGGGGGGGGGGGGGGGGGGGGGGGGGGGTTGTTTTGTTGTTTTTGTAGTTGTTTTAGCAATAATAGACGATCACAGAAGGAGTTTGTTGGTTGTTGTTGTGGTCCGTGTTGCTATCGTTATCGTTGCTGCCGTCCAGTATGCATACGTCGTGGGCGTTGTCGCCGTCGACACAAAGCGACAGGAAAGCAGAGAACCAGAGAGCGAGCCGGGATACGGGTTGCGGGGGTTCTTTGGAGTACGCAAGTGTGCTGTGGGGTTGCCACGTGTGTGCTACGGGGTTGTGTTAAGCGGCACAGAGTTGGTCACGACGTCTCAAGAGTCCCCAGGTTCCATGTAGAACGACATGTTTTTTTCTTCCTTCCAGAACCACCATCCATCCACACGCTTACAAGTGAAAGCGTTGTCCGGTCGCAAACGTTGCAACAGGAGGCACAAACCTAAACCAACAAAGAGCGAACAGTAGGGGATCGATCTCCTTCCGTGACCCCAACAACCGAGCACGCGAGCGAACAGCCCGCGCATCACACGAGTAAACCCCCCCCTGAAAGAGTTAGCGAGGAACGATTGACCATCGGTGATCGGTCCAACGCTCCGTCCTCTCGCGAACGCGTGGTCAACGGTTGAAGCGCTACGGCACGCAAAAGGGAAGCACTCCCCCCCTTCCCCCCCCGCCAGTACCGCTCTCACCTCCGCCTCCGCCTTCTGACGGCTGGCCTCCCCGGCCTCCCACATCGAGTGCGCCTCCTTTAGTTGCCGACCCCTGTAGTCAGCGATGGCCCTGGCTTGCCGCAGGTCTTCAAGCAGATCTGTCAAGGACCTTCGGCGTGTTTACGTTTCAGGGGGAAGGGGGGGGTCACGGTGGCACCCCGGGGCCCCCGGCGTCGGGAGGACAAAAAATGGGAACATAAGTCAGGGTCGGGAGATGTTTTGGTAGGCTGAGGATTGTTTGATTCATTGCCCGCAGCGTTCTCCGAAGCGGTCATACCTACCAAGGGCTTGGTCGTACGCCCCTCCAGCATTCTAGCAAACAAAACAAGAGAGACATCAAGCCTTCGCTCTTGGGTGTACCGCATGAGGGTGTCTTCGAACGCATGACACACCCCTAGCTAGCTAGCCCACCACACGCCGCGGAAACGTGATTCCTGCCCTCTGCCCCGTCCCGACGTCAAACCTACGCACAGGGAGACTTTGTAATTTTCGAATCACCATCCACAACCAAAAAAAAAAATTATATCTTCATCACAAAAACATACACGCACAGAAAAGCTTCGAATTTTCGAATCACCAACCGCAACCATCAAAACAAACATCCTTTCCATCATATTTTTCCTACACCCTCACCTGGGTTCATCCCCCGCACCCTTCTCCCCCCCCCCCCCCCCCCCCCCCCCCCCCCCCCCCCCCCCCCCCCCCCCCCCCCCCCCCCCCCCC